TCATAATGGTAGCGGAGTGTTTTTTTTTCACGAGAATGATTTCCCTTTTCAGGTGCGACTTTAGTTAACATACTAATACCAGGCACTATAAAATCATTTGGTGTCCTACTGGTTGAGTTCAGAGATGTATTCCAAGCCAGTGAGTCAGCTTCATCTGGGATTGTTGCGCTTTGTTACTTCTTATACAGCAGTTTAGGTATGTAGCCTACAGTTTATGAATTAAGACATTCTACAATTGGTCTAGTTTATACCTATTTTGTACGAGAGAATTGCGCGCTTTTCTATCCTATCCTATATAAGAAACTTCAGTGGTAGAGCACGCTTTAACATCTTTGCAGGAATTGTCCTCGGTCAGTGAAATACCACGACCACACAGAAGGCGTCAAGTGCGAAGTAATTCCAACTACAGTCTGATGAGTGTGGATCCCAGAGACCTCATTTAGTCCATTATTTTTTTCAGGTCCAATATCGTCAATTCTATCTGTAAAATGGTCTTATCGTACGGTTACATTGATCGGGGGATGCTTCGCGGCGTTTGGCATGATTTTTAGCAGTTTGGCGTTTTCAATAGGATATTTATATTTTAGGTAAGTGAACTTCTTTACTAGACTTCGCTTTTTTAATGTATATTTGTAACACCTGTATAACAAATAAATGCAAACTTACAGACATACAGACAGACAGAAATGATTTTTAGAAATTTGTTTATTATAAGCAAATTAAAAACATAACGATACGAAATATATACGAATAGTAGTCTATGTGTTCTTCCAGACTATGTTCTATATGTATGACAAATTTGATCAAGATCTGTTGAGTTGTTCTGGAGATATCTTCTAACATACATCTAAACATTCGCATTTATAATATTAGTAAGACATAAGATTAAATAAATTTGAACTTGATACCTTTTTTTTTAATATCATAAGGTGGGCAAACGAGCGAGCGGTCACCTGAAATCGCTGAAATAGCGAAGTGACCGTTGTCCATAGACATACGCTATTGCATACGCGTTGCCTAACTTTAATCGACGGAGGAGAGGATGCACAGAAAGAAAATATTTCCATGCATCCTCTCATCCGGAAAGTCCACTTCCACTTCCCATCCTTTCCTTATAAGAAAAAGGGTGGGAAGGGAAAGAGGACTATATAAGGTCTCCGGGACGCACACTCATCAGACGAAACGCGGAATTGCTTCCACTTGACGCCTGTCTTCTGTTTGTCCTTCACGCGTTCCTGATAAATAGGGTTTTAGACAGACGGACGGACAACAAATTGATCTCTATAAGGGTTCCATTTTTTTCCTTTTTCATTGTTAACCTTCCTTCTATTCAATTTGGTCTTCTTTGTAGGGTTTTTTTTACAATTTTGTTTTTTAATATTAAAGTTTCGGTGCAATGGTGGGTGCGGGCGCGGGTCTCGCGTTTCCTCCAACCGTGTACATAGTGACGTCCTACTTTGTACGTCTGCGAGGTCTCGCTAATGGAATATGTATGTCCGGCTCCGCATTCGGCAGTATCATTCTACCACCATTGTTAAGATATTTACTAGAAACATATGGATATAAGTAAGTATATACTAATAGTGGGTTTCAAAGACCAAAATCCTAGTTTCAAACATACCATATATATCTCTGTCCTGTCAAATGACAAAGACGATTATATGTTTTATGGAGAATATTGGTGTCAGAAACTTTAAAAAACTAGCTGTCTTCTCTTCCAGACTATGTTCTACAATTATGCCAAATTCCATCAAAATCCTTTGAACCATTCTATGGATTCCTTCTAACGTCCATCCATATATCTATACATTCTCATTTATAATACTTGATGTCATCCACGAATCCTTCCGCGCGGAATTTAAAAAGAAACTTAATTAGTCTATGTGTTCGAGACTATGTTCTACATACCAAATTTCATTTCATCATCATCAGCTCACTATACGTCCCCACTGAGGGGCTCGGAGCCTACCCTAAGTTAAGGGTGATTAGGCCATAGTCAACCACGCTGGCCAAGTGCGGGTTGACTTCCTTCACACATATCTTTGATTGAATTTCTTCTCAGATATGTGCAGCATCACGATGTTTTCCTTCACCGTAAGAACGTCTGATAAATGTACATATGTAAATCGGAAATCGAAAAACACATTGGTACATGGCGGGATTCGAATCTAGGACCTGCAGATTGCAAGTCAAGTGCTTGACTCCTGAGCCATCGATGGTCTTGTTTTCATTTACATCCGTTGATCTGCTCTACACATAACAAACATCCAGCCATACATACATCTAAACTATCGCGTTTATAATATTAAAATCGAAGTCGAAATTGGATTTGCGAGTGTTCTCGCTTATAGAGGTTTCTCTCTAAAATGTTTCTCGCTTATGTAGTTTGTTCATTGAATTCTCGCTTATAGAATTTTCTCGCTTATCCATTGGTATACAAAATATATCGTTTAAGTCAATATTATGGTTAATTACAGACATTTTTATTTTATTTTAGGGGAGCTGTATTAATATTAGGAGGGGTGATGTTAAATGTTTGGGCAGCAGCGTTATTATTCCAACCTGTTGAAGAGCACATGGTTAGGAAGTACAAAGAACCTGAAGAAGAAGATGAAGTTCCACAGGTTAGTAAAAATTAGATTAGCTATCGCCCGCGACTTCGCGAGCAATTAAATAAAATTGAGTATCCTATGTGTTCTTCCAGACTATGTTCTATGTATATGACAAATTTCAGCGAGATCCATACAGTTGTTCTGGAGATATCTTCTAATAAACATCGAAACGATCTTGTGAAGGAATTATTTTAATATTTACGTTTTTTTCTTGGCGAATATATTTTATGATGTTTGTTAGCTTTGGATTGGATTGAAATATAGTCGAATTTGGTTAAGCGAGGAAGCTAGTGTGTATCCTTCGATCACATAGCCACTTACTATCTATCTAAGTGGGTTTGTGGTCAAGCACTGGTTTATTCAATATAAAAAAAGCTATAAGCAAGAAATTCTTTAGAGAGAAAACTCTATAAGCGAGAAACTCTTTAAAAAGAAAACTTTATAAGCGAGAAACTCTTTAAAGAGAAAACTCTATAAGCGAGAAACTCTTTAAAAAGAAAACTTTATAAGCGAGAAACTCTTTAAAGAGAAAACTCTATAAGCGAGAAACTCTTTAGAGAGAAAACTCTATAAGCGAGAAACTCTTTTAAGAGAAAACTCTATAAGCGAGAAACTCTTTAAAGAGAAAACTCTATAAGCGAGAAAAATATCGCTGTCCCTTGACTCTCGCTTATCCAAGTACGACTGTATTGTTACGCGGGTTTTTGTCGCAGTTTTATTTTATTGACGTTTTGTTTGATTAATAAATGGGATATTAATCTGGGTTATACATTGGTTATAATGACATTTTGCTTATACCAAAACAGTAGGTAAAATTACCTGTAGGGTGTTTCCCGTTGGACTGTTTGACCTATAAATTATGTACCGACGGATTCTTTTGGTCAATATAATTTTAAAACATCCCATTGGTCTATTTAATTAGTTTGTATTCGAATGGTCCAATGGGAAAAATGCCATTTGACTTTTCAATGTCATTATAACCGGTTTTTACTATATCTTTTAATTACGCATTTTATCAAATACTAGCTGTCGCCCGTGACTCCGTCACCCAAAACTTAATTGGTAGTCTATGTTCTACATCTATGCCAAATGTCATTGAAATTCATTCAGACGTTCTGGAGATAAACAAACATACATATAAACATTCGCATTTATAATATTAGTAACATGTATGAGCTTTATCGGTAAAATATGAATTTATCCGGTTTTCCGTTTTTTTTAATGTCGAAATATCGTTTCGTGGTTACGGTTATTTGTCAAGTGTTTTTTTTTTGAAAATGAAACCAGTCACACAAAGTAAGCCACCCATTTTATCTGTACTTTTTTATTTATTATGTTCTTGTCTTTGGTATTGTCATTTTTACTCTGTGCCACTTATTTCTTGTCACTTCATCGCATGTTTTTATTTGCCTTGTACTTAACCTATAGATATATAATTTATCGTGAGTTTCTGAGTCTAAAATCCCCGTTTGAAATATTTTTTCTGTCAAAGATAGGCTGATTATATGTTTTATACAGAGATTTTGTCATAAATTTACGATTAGTTTACAAAAGAAAGACAAAAACTTGCTAGTCTTTTCTTGAGGTTATTTTCCTTATATTTACAATGCAAAATGACGTTTTAAAAGTCGACTTTCGATCAACTTAAACTTATATGATATACCACATCTATAAATTATATATCTATTATGTTACATGTTTTTATTTTTGGCAATAGAACACTTAATCCATTTTCTCTTTGTGCAAAAATATTCATAAAAATTAGTCAAAAGTTTTGCCTATAAATTAACCATTTATTCTAAGTTAATTATACTATTAATATTGACATTTAAATATTTGAATTTCAACTTTAAAATCATTTTAAAAACACTAAAAAAACTCTTTAAAATTTCAAACATTTGACAATCATCTTTGTTTTGCATGTAGTTTTGTTGTTAAAAATAACAGTTATAAAATAACATATTCGTTAACGCACTAACATAAGCACTGTTTTCTAATAACCGTTATTTATAACGCACGCCTACCAAGTAATCACTTTCCTTAAAACACATACACAGAATGTTTCATTTTCAAAGAAAAAATAAAACTTGAATAACGCGTTTTTTTTTAAATATCGTTTACCGAAAGTGATTATATTGGGGCAATAAATTGTTCAACCATAGATTTATAATATAAAGAGCAAAAAAATTGACGAAAAGGCATATGGAGGCATTTTGTGAGGTTTTCCTTATTGTTGATTAAAATTACATTTGGAATTAACTCTCGATTAGACGTCATACTTGTTTGACACACTTCATCTAAAGATTATACATCTATGTGTACGATTAAATTATTCAAACTTTCGTGAGACATTATACTAAACTGATACATAAACACGGCTAAACACTCACGTATATACGTCTACTAGTTTCGAGCCCACTCGTGCTCGCTCAGTGAGCTGAGGGCCGCGTCCGCGAAATAATACCAGTACCACTCATCCTGATGAAGGGCCCCCGATGGGCTCGAAACTAGTCGGTGCCGCCACCGGACGTATATACGTGAGTGTTTAGCCGTTTTTATTTATCACTTTACTATGTGTACGACTTAACTTAAAATTAACTGATATTAAAAGTATAAAAATAATCTTATTAACAAAAACGTTTATATGTCACGTAGATTTATAAATACAGATTAGTTTAGTTTTCTTTTATTATATCCCATTTAGTTTGTTCTTGATAGTTCTTCTATTTATCATCTTTAACCAACAAGGATATCTGACTCTGTGGGCATACAAACTAAATTATGACAGCTTACTAACGCCCTTCTGTCAATGTCAATATGACACTGTGTCCTTTTTTTAGCTGTCATGTTATGTTTTTTTTTTATGTCATTTTAATCCTCTTTTCCCTCTCATTCTTTTTCTTATAAGTAAAGGATAGCAAGTGGAATTGGATTTTCACGGTGAGAGAATGCAAGGCTAAGGAAAATATTATCTTTCTTTGCGTCTCCTCTATCGATTAAATGTAGGCAACGTATCAACGCAACGTATATATATGGGCAACGGTCACTTCGCTATTTCAACGATTATAGACCGCTCGCTGGTTTGCCAACTTAAAAAAAAGCAGCGCCTCACCGGTTTAGATATTCTTGTTTTGATAATATAAGCTAATTTTCGTGTATAAATGCATGCAAAATCTCTTATAATCTTTCTATTAACTATATACATTCAAAAATATAACTTATAAACTTGTATTTAAGTACTAATTTCCTTTGCAGGATATACTGTTTGAGGAAGAAGAACCAATAGAGGTGTATAAAATGGCAACACACGTGATACACGAAAATAACTCAAAACCTGAAGAAAAACTCTTAAAGGATACATCACAGAATAATCTATCACAAGCTCATATACATAATAGTCAAAATTGCATGAATTCAACACAAAATTTAAGACATAACCTTTCAAAACGTAAATTATCTTACACAAAACCTATTACAAAGGCAAATTTTAGTTCTGCTTCTATCGTACAAGATGGTTTTGAGAAGAAATTAGGTTCACAAGAGACATTTGGTAGAAGATTAAGTACTGTAGGTCCTAAAAGAAATATGTCTACATCTAGTTTCGCTTACGTCTCCACACAATTCCACGGTTCAACTCTATCAGCTTTCGAACAACCGAATGAATTCGCATCGCAATTCTCATTGAAATCAATAACAGAGAGTGTCGCTGATGTTGCATATTGTTGTTTTTGTTGTAAAAAAAAAGTTAAAAGTGAACCTAATAAATTTTTTGACGTTACATTATTAACTGATCCAACTTATTTAGTGATATTAATTTCGAGCAGTACAGTTGCTATATCATGTACAAACTTTATTATCTTACTACCCTCTTATGCACAAAATATAGGATTTGACAAGTCACGTGGTGCGTTACTCCTCAGTACTGTGTCAGCGCTTGATCTAGTCGGACGTATCGGTGGTTCAGCGTTATGCGATTTAAATTTAATACCTAAATCATTTTATTTCGTTGGTGGTTTATTCTTTTCTGGTGTTACGTTAGCTACTATACCTTTTTTGCATACTTATACAAGTATTAGTATCTTTTGTGCATTATTCGGTTTATCTTCAGGCATAAATAATAGCGTAACAGCTTTAGTAATGGCTGAAATATTAGGTGTTGATCGTTTAATGTCAACATATGGTATAAGTTTGTTTGTGAATGGTATTTTACAATTAGTTGGACCACCGATTTGTGGTTTATGGTTTGAATATGATAAGAACTTCGTAAATATGTTTGTCACATTCGGTTTTATATTTATAGCCGGTTCGTCTTTATGGCTTTTTATGCCGTTAATAAATAGACATAAAAAAAGAAAGGCGGAAGCTGAAAAATTGAAAACTCAAAAGGTTTGAGGGTTTTTGTACATTTAAGACCAAATTTTTTCATTCCAAATTTTTAGTTTTGTTAGATTACTAGACTTGTTTTAGTTATTTTATATAGTTAATGAGACTTGATACGTGTGCTTAAATATAAACATTCGAATAAGAATACGCGAGAAACTTTTATAAGCGAGAGTCATTGGTCGTGACGGACAACCTCCATAAGCAAGAAATTTGGGTTAGTTATAAACCTCTATAAGCGAGAAAAATCTTATACCCGAGACTCGTTTATCATTATTTATGCCTATATACAATTTTAAATATATAATATACTTTGTTATGTTTTAATATCAGTAATAATTTATCTTTGGTTGGTTTGCACATTTTTATCGACTATATTAAATTTTTTTATTACCTTTTACAATTTTTTTTTTTTTTTAATGTCATTAATGTGTCTGAAATACATGGTCCAAGGGACCGTGATATTTTTCTCGCTTTTAGACGTTTCTCTCTAACTTAAGTTTCTCGCTTATAGAGGTTTCTAACTAACCTAAGTTTCTCGCTTATAGAGGTTGCTATCCAACCCGAGTTTCTCGCTTATATATTCATGTTTTAATGTTATTTAATGAGAAAAAAATTACCGATTTTGTCATCTTCCTCAAAAATATAATAGCTTTTATTTCTATATTTTGAAAGTCGAATATGCAATGTATTTTATACGTGCCAAGATTTTTTAGATTATTTTTTTTTATACGAATTATACGAAGTTTTACTTTATTGTAGTTAGGTTTTGAATTTAGTTAAATTGGATAATTATACTCAATTTATAACTTTTTTGTTTCGTTGTTTACGGTAACGAATTTGTATTTTTTTTATTTTTTTACATATTAGTTTGGTAATATAGTTTTTTTTAGAGGTTTCCTAAAGTTAGTATTAATTATAAACCTCCAAAATGGATGGTGATTTTTGACGTCAGGTATCATTCGATTCTATTTACCGTGAGTAATTTTTTATTTTTTATTATTAAAATATGGGGTATGTACATTTTTACTTAAAAAACATGTTTGTCTATCACAAATCTTTATGAATAAGTAGAAATGCATTAGACTATTTTGAATCAAAAAAATATGCATTATGGTCAAATTTCGACTAATGGGCTTTAACTCGAACTATAGCATTTAATTTGCATATTTGTTTTTGATATCTTCCGAATTAAATTTAGTCCTAAATAATTAATAGGTTAATAAAAAAATGTCCACTTTCGTAGATATTTGTATATATAAAAAATTTAATCGTTCTGTACGACGCACATTTTTAAATGTTTCAAATTGTGAAACATGCTTTAAATGTTTGAAATTTGTAAAATTATGCACAAATGAATGTTGACTAGTTAAAATATATTCTATCCTTTATTATATAGGAAATTAATTTTATATCGTACTAATAAAATTTATTTTTATCTTGATTTTTATTGTTTAATTTTTTTAACCTAATAGTTCCGAAAAATTATTTCTAACAAACGGATAACAGTTACTAATATAACGCTTAACGAGTTATTTTTGTAACTGTTAACGATAATAGCGCTTAACGCGTTATAACCGTTATCATAAAATAACTGTTTATTTTTTCTCCAGCTTGAACCGTTCGCAGAAGAAGATCCGATTGATTTAGAAGCGAGTCATCCGCGACTTGTTTTGACGTCAGAAGATAACACACCAACAGATAAATATCCAAACGGTTCTCCTCCAATCTTCAAGCATAAATCTAATCTCGCATTAGACGATCGGTCACCAAATAAATTAGATTTCGCAAGATCAGCAAGCGCAGCTCAAGTTATGAGATTAACAGATGATAGAACAAGAAAGATATCAACATCTTCAAGACATGGTTTATCACAAATATCTAGTAAAATATCAAATTATCTACCTAGCAATCCATCTTTATTAGAATCCGTACCAGAAGGTAAATCGAGTCGTACCAATTCACATGATACTTTTGGTAGAAAATTAACAGTACCAAAAACACCTAAACGCAGTCCGTCAACATCTAGTTTTCAGTATATGTCGACACCTTTCCATGGTTCAACACTTTCAGCGTTTGAGAAACCGAGTGAATTTGCTTCCCAATTCAGTCTGAAGTCAGTCACCGATAGTTTAAGACCAATAACGTATTGTTGCGGTTTTAGGAAGACTGACGATAACGTCAAAAAGGAACCGAGTAAATACTTTGACGTGCAACTACTAAAAGATCCGATATATCTTGTTATTTTAATATCAAATTGCACTTGTGCTATTTCGTATACGAATTTTATAATCCTTGTTCCTTCTTATGCTGTTGAATGTGGTTTTGACAAATCATTAGGCGCGTATTTATTGTCAATAATATCAGCGTTAGATTTGGTTGGTAGAATCGGCGGTTCCGCTATATCAGATGTTGTATCAACTCCTAAACGTTATTTTTTTATAACCGGTTTATTGATATCCGGTATCAGTTTAGCAATGATACCGTTGATGAAGAGTTATTTAGCTATAAGCGTTTTTTGTTCGATTTTCGGTATCGCTTCTGGTATAAATGTAGGTGTTACAGCACTTGTTATGACTGAAATGCTCGGTACAGAAAGATTGATGTCATCTTATGGAATTAGTTTATTTGTTAATGGAATTTTGCAACTTATCGGACCTCCTGTATGTGGTGTATGGTTTGAGTACACACATTCATATAAATCTTTATTCGTAACATTAGGATTGATTCTCTGTAGCGGTGCGGCTCTTTGGGGCTTTGTTCCATTTATTCATAGTAGAAGAAAAAAAGCGGAAAGAATGCAACAAAATTTGGAGGAAAAAGCTTAAAATAAGTGTTCTTGAAACTGAAATATCGTCAATTTTACGTCTTGTAATCTGAAAACGTTATTAAATGCCTTTTAAATGTAAAATTATCAATTTCCTAAGAATAGGGTCCATTGAAATGTAAGGTTTAATTTTTTAAATACGGACATTACATTATTTAGATTAATTTTTATCATTTTTATTGTATTATCTGCTAATAGCTTTAATTTTATTAATCAAAAGTAGTTATCTGTTTATAGCTGCTTATAGAATTTTAAATAAAAATAACTGTTATTTAAAACAGCTATTTAACATGCTATTTATTGCACATCATTAACAAAAATTATTTTGACATTGAATTAATCTTTTTAATCGAATTTATTACTTGTAGTTATTTTATTATTTAAATTGCATTAGTTTTTCACTCACCAGTTACCCGAATATTTAGTAAATTATGTTTAAACGTAGTTACCGTTTTGTCTTATGTTAATTCAATAAGTTAATTTAATTATATTTTACTTGAAGAACAATCTGAATGAATGAAGAACAAGTGAATTTAGCACAATTATTATTAAACACATAGATAAATAATCTATAGATCAAGTGTTTCATATGTTTGATTAATTTAGTGTCAAATTTCCATATCAAAGGAAATTTATACCAACAAAAATTTTCCCGGCGTTTTTTCGCCTCACTTTTGTTCGATGATTATGTATCTATAGGTTATAAATCTATGATTTTAGTTATATTTTTAATGGCGAATAACTTAATATGTAATAATTCGTAAGGCCTTTATTTTATATTCGAGACAAATCTGTATATCTATAAATGTAAGAATGTATTTTCAATTGTAAATTATAATTAAAAATGTATTTTCTAATCAAAGATATAAATGAAAATATATTTATTTAGTATTCTTTCATTTCCTTCATCAAAAAAAAAGTAAAAAATGCAATCAAATGAGACCACATTTGTTAAAATCTCTTCATTCTTATGATACAAGCTGTTAGATAAGAATTACAAGTAAACTAGCGGACCCGACAGACGTTGTCCTGTCTACACGTCTTTAATTCGAATATTATTTAAAATTTGACACTGCGATGGTAGCGCCGTCTGTCGTATCCAATGTAAAACATTCCAAAATCAACAACTACTAATAAATTAAAAATTAATTTAAAAAAACATTGTCCAGCGGACAAAATTGTGAATCTAAACCATTCCCAGATCCCCTTGAACACACACAATAAATTTCATCAAAATCGGTCCAGTCGTTTGAGAGAAGTTCAGTGACATACACACTCACAGAAGAATTATATATATAAAAATATTGCTGTTAAAAAATTTATTAAAAAATAATATACTCTTAAAAATATATTAAAATGCATATAAATATCAGTTTCCATAAAAGCTTGCCTCGGGACATTTTTTATTTGAATCTGAAACAAAATAGAATATTAGACTCATTTTTCACTAGTCACGATCCAATTGCGCTAGTGGAAACAGTGTTTAAGAAAACATACCTATTTGTTAATGGGTTCACATTGTTCCTTGAGCCAGGCGTAGTCTTCCATGAGGTTCCGAGCTTCAAGAATGGGACCTAAAGTGTTCAACACTCGGGCGTGGTAAGCATTTATGTAGGATATCTAGAAATAAAAGAGCCAGCTTATTATTATTCTATAAAATCATGAAAAAAACAGTAATATATAGTCCAAAAAGGATCTTTTGTCATTTTGACAGCGTCATATTTTGACCAAGAAAGTGACAGTTGAAAGTAATGTTGCCATTTACATAATTTCGAAATTCCATAAAAAATATCACATTTATTATGAAGAGTCAATAGCCTAATGGTTAAGGATACGATTCCCACCATTCGATTATTGTCTTAAACCATATCCTAGCATCCTCCATATACAGCTTAGTTGGAATGGCAAAAGAAATATTAGTAAATTTACAAAAAAAATATTGGTTAATTTTCTAATGTTTTTGCTAGTTATAATTAAAATTAAATAAGGAATGAATTAACTACGAGAATTTAAGTTACAAGTTGCAAATCAATTACTTAGAATTGCAAAAATGACTTTTAGTAGAAGTTTTAGACACTAGTAACCCTTAAAATTTGTCAAAGTCAAAAAACCTACAAAATATATTTGTGGGAATTATTAAAATGGCAACATATTATTTTAAATCTTTCAATCATACCTCAAAATCATCGAGCAGATTCAAATCCAAGCAATCCTTTTGATGCGGCACCAGAGTTAGTGTGCTGAAGCCGAGGGCGCCGCGACCTTCGAAGTCACCCAGCAGACCGCGAGCCTGCGCACAGCGAGAACACCATAGACTAGAGCTACTGGCCATAGACAATTGTACGTAGACTATGGAGCTACAGGCCATTGACAACTCTTCATATGCTAGTAGAATAACTTGCCGTAGACAACTGTCCACGGAATATAGAACTGCAGACCATAGATAACTGTTCATAGACTATGAAGTTACAGGCCATATGTGTCTATGTAGATCCTTGTAAGTATAGATCAGGAGTTTAACTCACCCTGGGATGATCAGATTCCCTTGTGATGGAGATAATTTCCACCAGATCCTCATGCCTGATACCATACTCCCCAACCTTGTAGTATCCTGGCTCTGAAAATATACAAAAATATATTAAATACTAGCTTTTAGCCGCGACTCCGTCCACGCGGATTTAAATAACTAAATAAGTAGTCCATGTGTTCTACCAGACTATGGTCTATATGTATGACAAATTTCATCAAGATCCGTCGAGTTGTTCCGGAGATACCTTCTGACATACATCTAAACAATCGCATTTATAATATTAGTAAGATTACTAGTTGACAAGTTGAAGTAATGTAGTTGAAGGGATTACCCAAAAATACTAAAAAATTTTAGTCTATGAGAAAAAAGTATTCCATTCTACGATCTTAAACTATGAAATTATCTGTAGTTGTTGTCTATTGTGTTTTTATTGTCTGTTAGAGGCCTTTTTTGTTTCGATCCAAATTAAATACAGGAAAAAATTTAATAAACATCAACCATTTTTATATTCTACTTTTTTTTTAGTTATTTTGTGTAAAATGCTAAATATAATTATTATAAAATAAAGTTAGCTGATGTCATAAAATTATGTAAAAAAAAAATATGGAATTTTTAATCTTATATATAAAATTCTTGTATCACAATTTTCGTTCCCATACTCCTCCGAAACGGCTTGACTGATTCTCATGAAATTTTGTGAACATATTGAGTAGCTCTGAGAATCAGACATCTATTTTTCATCCCCCTAAATGTTAAGTTTTTTTAATTCCGCGCGGACGGAGTTACGGGCAACAGCTAGTTTTAGTATATAATTTGTCTATGGTTAAAATTGAGACATATAGGAAAGTTGACTCACCATTACTTAGTATTTGTTTGGGGCGAAGTCCCGGGTCATTGGGATAAGGTCTCCAGGAGACTCCGGAGGGCCCTTCATGCACATTGAGGCAGTGCCCGACCCCGTGTCCAGTGCCATGCGCGTAGTCTAACCCTGCCAGCCAGAGATACTGACGGGCAAAACTGTCTAACACGTTACCCTGGTAAAAATTACATAAATTGTAAATTAATATTAACAGTGGTAGAGCCTGCTTTAACATATTCGCACAAATTGTCCAGGCTTGCCCGGTGAAATACAACGACCACACAAAAGACAAGTGTCAAGTGAAAGCAATTCCAACTACAGTGTGATGAGTGTGCGTCTGGAGGCCTAATTTAGTCCTTTTTCCCTTCCCACCCTTTTTCTTATAAGGTAAGGATGGGAAGTGGAAGTGGACTTTCCGGATGAGATGCATAGGAAGGGAAAATATTTTCTTTCTGTGCATCCTCTCCTCCGTCGATTAAAGGTAGGCAACGCATATGCAATTGCGTATATCTATGAGCAATGGTCACTTCACTATTTTAGCGATTTCAGGTGGCTCCCTTGCTCGTTTGCCACCTTATGATAAAAAATTAACGACTCTGGTTGACAATGGCTTAATCACCCCTGACTTAGGGTAGGCTCTGAGTACCTCAGTTGGGATGTATAGTGAGCTGATGATGAACCACCATTACTTCAGTGTAAACTCACCTTAACACCCTGTGGAAACACTGCACTGCCCAACATTATCTGTCCCTTCAGTACTCTAGTGAAGGTGTCCTTCTGCCCAGGGCTGGGCTCGCCCATGTGACGTGTTCGAGTTATATCTGTTGTACCATCCCTAAGTTACACAAAAAAAAATTAGTTCTAAATTTCAGTAAAATCAAATATTATATTATTTATTAAGATATAAGACAGTTGTTTTACTAAAGATTAGCTGATATTTAAGAAAACCCAATTAGTAGGATGTGTACCAAATTTTAGCAAGATCCATGTAACAGATCTGGAGATACCTTCAAACAAACATCCATCCATCCATCCAAACATTTGACATTACTATAACCAATATTTTACCTGTATTGTCCACCGGAGTCAAGTAAAAACATGTCATCTACCCTTATAACTCTCTGCTCACCCCCTTTTGAAGGGCTGTAGTGTATTATAGCACCATTTTCCCCAGCCCCTGCTATTGTCTCAAAGGACGGACCCAAGAAATCTTCTTCCTCTCTAAAACATGAAATTCAAAATTGTCGGACAAAAATTACCTTTCTCCAAAAATTTTATCAAACTTAACTTTATAATTGGATAGGCTATAGAGTAGAAACAGTTTATGCATCGTTCACCGCCAGAAAGGCGGAAAGCAAATAGGCACAAAATACCTCGACTTGCATGACTGTCCATATGTAGTTAATAAACTAAATCGTATACAAAGATAACCCTCCTATTTGGTCTAAAGTCTCATGATAGGTTAAATTTTAACGATATCATATTACTCCTGTTCTGTCTGTCGGACAAAACATAACCTCTCCCTTCAGGAGAAAATCTCCCGCGTACTTACGTTCTAAATTCCAAGAGCCTATCAGCAGCTTGTATTTCCGTGACTTTAGAACCTTTGCCGATCTCTTCGTGCAGCCATTTGAAAAACCTGACCACAGCAATACCATCTTTTATATGACAATTACGAAAACCCTGAAAAGAAAGTTGAAAAACATGATAAATAAAAAACCTACCAGATCTGTCAGACTAAATGTCAACCTCTTTGGTAGATTTGTCAAAGACTAAAGAATAGAAACAAAAAGTAATTCAGACTGACCACTAAAAACAATTTAATGTACCAAAAAAAAATGGAGATTTTTTTTCTTAGACTGAGTAAATTTTTTATAATACCTGCAATTCCACTTCGTTCTTGATTAACTTAGCCAAAGCCACCGGAGAGACTTCCGATATTAAATCTAACGGTTTCTTCAAAACTTTCTCCTGAAAGAAAAATCTATCTCATAAGTATTCATCCGACGAAAAGAGTTACATCTCAAGAGATCTCATATGAGAACTTTCGTTGTATGAGATCCTATGAGAAGAGATAAGATGTAACTCTTTTCATGGAATCTTAAGAGATATTTTTTAACCTATTTTTCTGTTAGCCTATTTTTTTCAAACGGAATGAAAGGGACAACTATATCTATCAACACAAGTGTAGCCAGTTGAGTTCTAAGGTCTCTAAACTCTCTGCCTACCCCTTTGTGATACAGGCGTTATAACTTACCCCCGCAGATGCTCTATGTATAGCCTCGCTTGCGTCATTCGATAACCAAATACCATGAGCTCCATCACCACTTTCTGATAGTTCTTTCTAGAAAACAATTCAAATATTACTATCCTTCTAGAATATTCGGTCACGTTTCTTTTTAACTTGAGAAAAATGACCCAGGAAACTCTTATTGCGTAGTCTCTTATCTTCTTTACATTTGAAAGAACAAATATTAAGGTACGTTTAAATCTATTAAACATGATATTACTTAAATCGGTAATATTAAACAATTGTTTATCTTACTCTTACTAATTTTAGGATGGATGGATGGATATTTGTTTGAAGGTATCTTTGAAACGACTGAACGAATCTCGCTGAAATTTGGTATACATATAGAACATAGTCTGGAAGAACAAATAGGCTACTTATTATTATTTTTTTACGACAACTAGTTTTAGTTAATCTCGAAAATAATAATGAAGAGATTTTATAAATGATTTCACAATACAAAAACTATTTTAAATCTATATTTAAATTTCTAAGCTGAAAAAAATCTATTTTTTTTATTAGGATTTAAAAAATCACTAACCGCTAATTCATTTAGATATTCCATAATATTGTCATAGGGTCTACATTCAACTGTAGCACCTTCTGAGTTCAGATGGTCTACCACAATTTGTGATAATGTACCATCACCCCAGAACAGCTTGGCTGAGTCCATGGTAATCACCAGGTAAGAGAAGAACACTGGATTGTACTGGATGTCACTACCACGTAAGTTTAACGTATCTAAAATAGAATTAAAGTAAATAATGTTGAAACTGAATAAGCGAGACCTGTGAAGCGATATTTTTCTCGCTTATAGAGGTTTCTCTAAACCCAGAGTTTCTCGCTTATGGAGATCCGTCGAGACCAAACAATCTCGCTTATAGAGGTTTCTCTGAACCCAGAATTTCTCGCCCAAGAAGGTTGTTCGTCGGAAAGACACAATCTCGCTTATAGAGGTTACTTTTAAGCAGAGTTTCTCGCTTATGGAGGTCAATTGTGAGTGGACAATCTGGCTTATAGAGGTTTCTCTAAACCCAGAGCTTCTCGCTCATGTATGTTTTACGCCGAGAGGACAGAATCTCGCTTATAGAGGTTTCTCTAACCCGAGTTTCTCGCTTATGGAGGTCAGTTGGGACTGGAAAATCTCGCTTATAGTCTTGCTTATTCAAATTCCACTGTATTTCATTGCAATGCAAAAGTGAATTTAAGTAAACAGTAATGAAAAAAAATATGAAAAACTTTGTAGTTTTTTTTTTTAACTTTTACATGTATATTAGTTTTAAATATTAAGATGTAACTTTAAGTGTACTCTTAGTAAGGATTTAGAAATTCTGAGTGCAGTTAAAAAACTTACATGCAACTTCGTCCAATGCTGTAATAACTAATGCAGATGCTTTCTTCTCTTTCATCTTCTCTCTTAATTCTTCTATCTTCTTACCAGCCGCTTTGCCTATAATTAAAATGGAGAAAACATAAATAAAAACTAACAAATCTCAAGTCAAAACTAGACAGTACTTAAAGTCTAGTAAAATTTATGCAGGACAGGGGCATTTGGCGATCTCTTGTGTCGCAGGCCAATTCCCTTTTTGGGTCGTTGCGCCAGCGAAGTAGTAAGAGTCAAATTAATTTAAACTTTAATATATTTTTAGAACTAGCGATCGTTTTACTTTGTCAGCGCATAATTAAAAAAGGAGCCCATAATATTAGTCACTTCGTTTCGAGATTACCCGATACAGACGCAGCCTTGTGTACAGACAGACAGAATCTTACCTGTATACTTAACAGACAGTGGAATTATTCCATTATGAGGTCTCTTTGGTGGACCATCTTTCGTTTGAACCCTCACTTGATCCACGAGGTTATTAGGAACGGCTACAAGTTCCATTTTAGCTTTCTTTAAAGCTGTCTGAAATACAAAAATAGCTATCAAATCTATACACTCAGGAGAAGAATACGAATACGACAGCTCACTCGTCAATATCAGTCTTAAAAGAAGAAACACAAATAAATAGTGATCACTTGGGTCCTATGTTATATTCCATACTATATCTTCGTACAAAATAACATATATCGGTCCAAACGATATTACTAGCTATCGCCCGCAACTATGTTCACGCGGAATGAAAAAAAAACTAAAAGTTTCCAGCCTATGTGTTCTTCCAGACTATGCCATCAGAGCCAAATTTCATCAAAATCCAATAAGCCGTTCGGAAGATACCGTCAAACAAACATCCATCCAAACATTCGTATTTATAATATTAGTAACATTAAGATATGTTAATATGCACTCACTTGTAATGGAGTCCATTCGTCTCTGCTCATTGTTTTGGGGTCAGCCCCAACAACTGATCCTTCAACTAAATTTGCCGTCAGCCATTTCTCCATTGTTAATGTTTCTGGCAATGCTGAAAAATATATAAACAGAATAATAAGAAAGACTAATTAGTAGCCAAATTTCTGTTAGATCTATTCAGCCGTTCTGGATATATCTTCTAACAAAAATCGCTTTAACATCTTCGCACGAATTGTCCCGGCTCGCCCGGTGAAATACCACGAGCACACAGAAGACAGGCGTCAAGTGGAAGCAATTCCGCGTTTCGTCTGATGAGTGTGCATCCCGGAGGTCTAAGTGCTCTTTCCCTTCCCACCCTTTTTCTTATAAGGAAAGGATGGGAAGTGGAAGTGGACTTTCCGGATGAGAGGATGCATGGAAAGGGAAAATATTTTCTCTCTGTGCATCCTATCCTCCGTCGATTAAAGATAGGCAACGCATATGCAATTGCGTATGTCTATGGGCAACGGTCACTTCGCTATTTCAGCGATTTTAGGTGGCCGATCGCTCGTTTGCCACCTTATATTAGTAAGATTGGAATCCCGTTTTATCTTTTACACCCTTTTCTTATATACTTACACATCTTCATTAAAGTCCACAATGTATTGTCAGTTTCTTTTTCAAACTGCGTATAATATCTGCCATCAGTCCACACTAGCGCATGCGCGGCGGTCACCACAGCAGTACCGGCGGAACCCGTGAACCCCGATATCCATTCACGACGGGCGTCCACTGATGCAATGTACTCAGACTGGTACAAAAAAAAATGGTTAAACCAATGAGAAAAATATTTATATCTGTTATGAGAACTCATATGTAACTCTTTTCGTTTTATGAGATCTTAGGAGATTTCACAGTAACACTAACTAGATAAATATAACTAAGGGACTTACTACTAAGGGAATAATAAACAGGCTTAAGACATTTATTACTATTTAAGACTCATTTAAGATCTTATTTGACTAAGAATTCACCAAAAACCTAACAAATGTAACTTTTTTATTAACCATTTTACCGTTTAGCCAAGTTTATTAACTTACTTAAATGTGGCTAAGTCACCTAACTTTAGCTATTCTTTTTAATCAGCGTTTGAGTTGGCACAACATTCAGTACAGTAGTCTGCTTCCTCGCGTGCCAACTATATACTCACATTATGTGCATCTGCAGTAGGAATGATGTAAGCAGCCAGTGCTGTTGGCTGACTCGTCATCAGCGCTCGAAGCGCTGTCAAACGCTGCAACGTCATACTGGAACCTAAGAACGTATTAAAAATTAACACAGTAACAAATTTTCAATTATCCAGATTCGACTGTGTATTTTTTTTTATAAGAGAAGGGGGGCAAACGTGCGGCGTGAACACCGAGGTGATCAACGACACCCATGGACAACTGCAACACCAGAGGAACTGCAGATGCGTTGCCTGCCTTTTAGGAAATGGTATGCTCGCTTCTTGAAGGTCACTAAGTCGTATTGGTTTGGAAATACCGCCGAGGACAGACCGTTCCACAACGCGGCTGTGCGAGGCAAGAAATTGCGCGAGAATCGCACCGTTGTGGAATGCCAACCATTCAGGTGGTGTGGATGGAACCTTGCGGTCTGTCGTGTCCTCCGATGACGGACCTCGGCCGCAGGAATCGTTACAAACAGTTTTTATATGTATTTAAAAAATATATATAGTTTACCTTGAACTGTACTATTTGTAGTTAACTTCGCCGCATTCGATGTTGTATATCTGAAACAAACATATTATTTATAACTAACTCTTTCAACGTAATAGACAAATATACCTAAGTATGATACGAAAGTGGTACGAACATTCAAGATAAGCCCTCCGTGCAATACTTTAGTAAAACCAGTAGCTGTCGCCGCGACACCGCATATGTATTTCAGGCTATGTCATGCCAAATTTCATAAAAATCCGTAGAGACGTTCCGTAGATACCTTCATACATCCATCCATCCAAACATTCGCATTTATAATATTAGCAAGATGACTATGAAATTCGCTTATGCTTTTTAGGTTAAAATCGTACCAAACTATCGTGTCGTCTGCATTATAGCTGTTCTGTTAATTTACATATGGGGTTATTGATCTTGAAGTTATTGACTTTTATCGTAGTTTTAGCGAATATATTTTTGATATATGTTTGTTAGTAAAAAAATAATATGTTATCCAATTACGTAAATTCCGGGAAAAGAGTCACATCTCATTAAAAGATCTCATAAGAGATGTAACTCTTTACATAAAAACTTTAAAATATGAAAAAATTCAATGTAGTTTATTAATTATTATAATATTATTATTCTTTGGTTTTATTTTGATTTATTTTAAAGTGATATTAAATTTAGAAAACGGTAATAAGGGTAATTATTTTTTATTGATAAGAAACCCATAGATAAAGATTAAGTACACCAAACTCTTTACAATAAAATTGTTTATGGATTAAAATATATATTTCAAGATGACTGATTCTTGTGTCTTTTGATATATTAATATTAAAATTTAAATTTCCCTTTAATAGAAACGAAAATACGTAAAATTACTTACAACCAAAACACTTTTAATAAGAAACACGTTAAAAACATATTAAAACTCCGAAATAACGACTAAATACTGACATTTTTCCGTTCTAAAATATTCAGTCAACGAAAATTCAAACGTATACTGACTGAGAAATGACATTTGGTAGTGTTGTGCACGACACAAATATCGATAATAGTTTCCAGTTTGAAATTTATCGATATCGATAGTTCAGTAGTTGATAAATTATAAGCTCAAACTTATATGACATCATCAGCTCTCTTTGTCACGTTAAGCCTGACGTATCTTTCTACCACTTCCACCAAACTCTTGATGTTATCACATAAAATTTTTATCCGTAAATCGACTTTTTAGTTAGATAAAAGAAAAGTAACTCAGGGAGTTAATTCAGATATGATGGCTGATAGAAATGTATGGATGATTAGCTGTCGCCAACTACTCCGTACGCGTGAAACTAAAAAAAAACAAGTACCCTATGTGTTTTACATTTATATCAAATTTCATCAAGATACCTTCTAACAAACATCAATCCATAGAGCCGACATTAACCCATTAATGCATAGAGTTTATTAACGCTTTTTTCATTATGATCACTGTAATATATTTTCATTTCGATTGCATTTGTCTATTAAATTGTATAAAATATTTAATCAATATGAAAGTTTAGATTTTATAGCCCGTCCACCACTTCAAATATATATTACACTACTGTTTTAAAAAAAATATACGGTTAGTAAAATATATATAAATCCAAAAATAACAATTTTATTGGCGTCTGATTTATCGAACGTTATGCACTAATGGGTTAAGGGATACAGCAGGAAGACGATGAATATCGATAATCAAAGACAACACTAGAAAATTACTCTGTCCCGAGTCAGTAATGTTCAACATAACGAAATCTTTATTGGCCAATTGATACATGCTAAATATAAAACAAATTGAAACCTATTTTTTCAGATATAGAATTCAAAATTGTTTATACGCTGTTTTATATATATTCACAATGACCATTGTTGTATGGAGACTAGATTTATAGGCTACGATATTCCTTGACGGACCAAGGTAATAATTGCAATAAATTTGATTCTATAGTAGTCTTACTAGGTTTCTAAGATCAAAATCCAAGTTAAATAATGTTATTATCTCTTCGTCAAAGATATATCGGTATAATGGGGACAACGATATGTTTTATACAGAGATTTCTCAGAAACCAAAGGTTAGAATTGAAATTTTTAATATAATTAAGAGAATAAAATTACCTATAAAATATTAGTATTATATAGTATCGATAAAAAAAAAAGTCACGTCACTATTAAAAAATCGAATATAAGATCGTACATTTTTATAGTCAATAATTATTAACTGTAAAATTCGATCATTTCTTTATTAACCCTTAATTCGACGAAATTTTTTGTAGCAAAAAAACTGTTTTTCTTTTCAGTAAAGTCATACTAATTAAATTTTCTCTAAACTAGATTTTTTTAATCAGTTGTTCGTTACAATGGACACCATCGAATTTTATTAAAAAAATCACATACCTATACAAACTCTTTGTTAACTTTTTAATAAACAGCAAAGACAAAACGACGCGATCAAAATAAGAACGCGGAATAGCACAGAGTATATTTGCAAAGTATAAAGAACAAACAAACAGCATAAAGATATCGTTCATTTCATTTCAACCCGAGCTCCTCATTGGCGGGTTAATCTAGGCAGCCCTTTATTTATAGTTTCACCATAAAGAAACTTCATTTTGGGACATCGTTTTTTCTTAGTAAAACTAACTGTCGCCAACACCTCCGTTCGCAAGGTGTTAAAAAAAATCGTTAATTTGTAGCCTAAGTGTTCTATCAGACTATGTTCTACATGTATGCCAAATTTAAGCGAGATCCTAGCCGTTCTTGTGATACCTTCTAACATACATCTAAACTTTTGCATTTATAATATTAGTAAGATGGGAAAAAAAATGCCAGTATCCCTTTTGCATTAACTTTACGTCTGCAAGCGTCAATAACTGTTATTAAAGCTCGTCTGCCCTTCTTCTCTTATTAAAAAGGATTATTAGGATTTGTCCATAATAATTAATAAATAATGGTGCTACGAGTTTACATAAGATACATTACTGTCTTTATTTACAAATGATTGAAAGATAAAGAATTGAAGAAGGACATGTAACATTCGGAATACCTTACAGTAACTTTTTTTAGATAAAAGGGATAACAATGTTTGACAATGATGTTCTTGTTCTCCCTACCTTGTCAAATGTCCTTAACCTATTTGATATATTCATATCTATACACACATAGGCTATAAGTCGTGATATTTTGTGCCTGTTTGGTTTCCGCCATTTTTATATCGATTGTGGGGTTTTAGGGCACCTAAACTATTTATAGAGAATTCGATAATAATAACGTCAACTGCCTTGAAATAGAAATAATTTCAAGCATTTTTAAGAAGCAACCTGTCGTACGCCATACGGCGTGTTGCTTATCCATATGTCACGTATTTTATAACCGACTTCAAAATGGAGGTTTCCAATTCGTCTGTTTTTTTTATCCCATACATTTTGTCTATTCTACTAGCGATAATATTAATGTTATATTGTCTACGCCTCAGTGTAAACTGTGACATTGTTTCTATACACATGTTTTGCTAGTGAAAACTCATGGTTAACTCATAAAATGTCAATCTATTAATACTTAAATATCATAGTTAAAGGTCAATAAGAAGACAATTGAACCATAAATTATAGACGACTTTAATTCCTAATATATTTATTAGAAGAAAAGAAAAATTACAAATGTCAACCAAAAAAACCCAACTGACTATATGACACTCGAAAATACGAATGGAATGACAACTCATTTGTCAAAATCTGTTCACTCGTTTACGATACAGGATATTACAAATTAAATTTACATACAAACCTATTTAAATATACGCGTAAAAACATTTTTCCGTGTAAAAAAGGGAAACATGGATTAAAAAAAACAAATTACGAATCTTACATTTATTCATTATTACAAAATTTCACGTATTCCAGAACAAAACTCATAAATAAACACTAAAAACATATTAAATATTGTTTATAAGTTTTAGTAGTAATTTAACAGAATTTATAGTCAAGGAATTTAATTCGCTTACCACTTAGGATCAAAATTTTACGACACACTTTG